GTGTGTGTGTGTAAGTGAGTGAGTGTGTGTGTGTGTGTGTGTGTGTGTGTGTGTTGAGCTCTGACTGACGCCCTCTTGTGGTAGTTTTGGGATCAGCAGTTTGATTCTTTAGCAGAGTACAGTCTGTGCTTCGCTGAACTCATGGAGGTTCTTGTCCAGCAGACGGCTTTCATCCTGATTTCATCATCCTTGAGTTTCATTGCTTTGATTATATGAGTGTGTGTTTGCAGTCATAAATGCAGTGATTTCACATGTTTATAGTCCGGCGTTTGCACACAGCTACTCATTCTTTGTTTCTGTTTTCCTCCTGTTATATATACATATAGCTTCTTAATATTCATGTAAATGTAGACAATTTATACACTGCAAAAAATGAATCACTTCCTCAGTGTTTCTGTCTTGTTCTCCAGTACCAATGTCTAAACATCCTTAAATCAAGACACGTTTACTGGAGACGCACAATAAACACTTAAAATAGATGCACACTTAAAATATTTAGATATTGTTTTCTGAAAAATGTAATAAAATTAGATGAGATTATGGTTAAAACAAGAACAAACATCTGCCAGTGGGCTCAGAAAAATAAACGTAATTCAAAAGGAAAACACGATTATTTTTCTGACCCCATCCACTGATATATGTTCTTGTTTTAAGCTTAAACATTTTTATTTGTCATTTTGCATCTTCAGTAAATGTGTCTTGATTTAAGAAGGTGTAGATATTTGTACTGGGAAACAAAACAAAAATACTGATATATATATATTTTTTGCAGTGTACTTCTGAAAACTAATATTCAGTCATTTAAGCATACGCTTTTATGATCATGAAAAACAAATTCAGTGCTGGTGTATTTCATCATGTATGTATTTTATATTATTATGTAGACGATATAATAGAATGTATAACTGTATATGAAATGATGTTTTAATTATTGTTAAATTGTCGAGCAGTCACGTGTTCTCAGATCTGCAGAAAGATGAATTAGTGCTGCTGATGCTGATGGGCTTCACTCTTAGTTTGTTGCTCAGTGTGTGTGAGTGTGTGTGTATCTGTGAGAGAGTGTGTGTGTGTGTGTGAGTGTGTGTGTTTCTGTGTGTGTGTGTG